TCCTCGCTCTGCCCGCCCTTATCACCAGCATGGCCTGCAGACCCCAGTAAGGGGCACATATGGGGTTTTTGTCTGGCACATAATAAGTGCATACAATTTTTTTTAATAATAATTTATAGCTACAGTCATTAACCAAAGAGACCAGAAGGGAAACTTTTGATGTTGCCTTTTGGAGAGCTTTAGCTCCCCTGACAGTCCACCATCCATCTGTCATGAGCGCTAACGTAAGCCAAACAGCTCCTAACACCTGTACACATTCTGGGCTTCCCAAGCACCACAACATTTAAAATCCCTTGGCTCACCCTGGGGTCCAGCACTCCCACATCGTAATTTGCAACCAGGGCAGTTTGCTTGATGGAGGAAATGCACTTTCTTTGCTTTTTCCTTATTCATACCCTTGATCGTAAAGGGATTACTGTATGTGTGGACCCAGAGGAAAAGAGGTAACAGCACTAGGAGTCTGATGTCGGGAAATTACACAGAGCACGAATGAAGCCTATTCTCCAGGACCACTGAGTACAGCTGAGGCACGTAGTCCAGTCTTGGAGAAAGCCTTATGGATGGCGGGTTGTGTCTATGAGCAGTGGGGTGGAAGCAGAAGCTATGCTTCTTGACGGTTCTCTACCCTTTGATTGGGACACCCAGCCCAGCCTATCCCAACTGGAAACCCTTACTTTCAGGTGTCATTCAGGAGTTACAAGTTCTAGTATGTATTTATAGAAACGTATGTTAGGGGCACCTGGGTGGCTCAGTCGGTTAAGCATTTGCATTCAGCTTGGGTCATGATCTCAGGGCCCTGGGATCCAGCCCTGTATTGGGCACCCCGTTCAGTGGGGAATATGTTTGTCCCTCTGCCCCTTCCCTTGCTCATGCTCTCTCTCTTTCTCTCTCTCAAATAAATAAAATCTTTAAAAAAAAATGTATGTTAGGTGTACAAGAAATGCTGCAGAAGGAAACTAGGAACAGCATGGGGATTTTTTGGTGGTGTTTTGAATTTGCATTCAAGAAAACGATTGGATAGAAATGTTTAAATCTTATCATAAAGGTACCAGGTGGGGAGAAGCACGGGGAAAGCACGTGCTAGCTGTGTTTTGAAATGCCTGGAGCTACTGTGTTGCCCTTCAGAAATCCGTATGGCCAGAGCCCGTGTATGGTGTGTTCACGTTCACTAGAGGGTTGCACCAGCGCCTCTGGCAGCTGGGTTAGTGTTAGAAGATGCAACGGGAATGCAAAATAGAAACTGGAAAAGAAAACCAACTCTCTTCTGGTAATATGTCTATGATGAGAAAAATGAAACTTACTCAGCCAGAGTTCTGATTAGTCGGGCTGTTACAACTCTTTATGTGTCTTTGTCCCAGAATGTAGGCTTAGGGCTGTCCCTGTCTCAGCCTAGACTAAGGGAGAATCTTTGTTTGCTGTTCTCAGAATGAGGAAAGGCATTTCCTCATTGCGTGGCTACCTCCACTGCAAGGTGGTATAATGCACTAGTCCCACGTTGCCATCAACCCCAGGAAATTTTAGTTTCACCTGGGAACCTGTCACAAATGCAGATTCTCAGGCTCCGTCCTCAATAAAATGCATCGGAAATTCTAGGAGTGGGGCCAAGGAATCTCTGTGTTAGTAAACTTTCCAAATAATCCTAATGCGTGCTATAAAGTGTGAGAACCACATTATATTTTGACCGTAAGTAAAAATTCTTTTAATTCCATAAAATAAAACTGTACAGGTTTTTCTTGAGATTCACAGAAAAAAATGGCCTTCTTTTTTGTTCTGTCTCTGTAGAGAATGTTTGACGTAAGCTTTATCTACCTAGCTGAGTTGGTGGCTAGTTCAATACTATTCACACCCTAAATACCCACAATGTGCCCTTCTTCTTAAACACAGAACATACTCAGGCCTTTCCCAAGAGAGTCAACCCAGAGTCAAGGCAACCATTGTGCCCAGCTATGCTCAGGGAACTCTTGGTGATGCACGGTTCCCCTCAATGGACAGGGTGTGGCTTCCTGTGGTCTGGTGAGAAAAACACCTAAAAGACTAGATAAGATTAGGTAACTCCTATGTATTCTGTTGGGGCACAAGAACCATAGGAAACATCCCAGTTGAAGAAAGGGAACCTGGAGGAAGCTCAGAGGTCACAAGTCAGTAGCAATGGTGAATGTCTGCTGGATAGGCATTTGGAAGATTCTTTCTTAGACCCAGATTCTGCTCTCTGATGAGAACCTTGCCATCATTCTCCATATCCCCAGCTCACCCCCTGGGACGCTCTTTGTGACATTAACTCTCGTGTTCCCACGTCCTCTGCCACGGGCTGGGGTTCTGTGTTCACCTTCTGGGCCCCAGAGACTCCTGTGTGCACATGGAACCTTTGTTGATGGTATCCCTCGATGGAGAGCATTTATTCAATGAAGCCGTGCCTTCAAAGTATGCCTCAAATATTTGTCAGTGTCTGATTCTGAGAATAAAGAGTTTTAAAAGTTGATTATCACAGAAGCATTCATAGATAAAAGAGAGATGAAAAAGGCCACATAAAGGTACGAGGGACAGCAGAGGAAATGTGTGGAAATGCGTCTCTGCACGTGTACCGACTTCTGGTTTTCTTTGAACTTAGCAGCAGGAACTTTTCCACCTCTCTCACCGGCTGCTCCACCAGCTTTCTGGAAGCAAAGCTGTGGCTACTTGAGTTTCCAACCAGACTTGCCATGTTCCTTTGGGTTCCTCTTGCAGTTACTAAAGGGCTACAGGCAGAGATCCCCATAACATGCAAGGCCAAGCAACACTGGTTAAGATTGCCCCTCAGTGTCAGGGAAGGGAAGTGTCACCGTGAACTTTCTGGAGTTTGTGATCTGAGGGCAAGGTTAAACTTTCATCCATCTAATGACGGGGAGCGGGGGGCAGCGCGGGGAGTCCTGCAACCCTGGCAGCACACGGGGTGGATGAAGATCTTCCCTCTTTCTCGGGAAATGAGACAGCTACAGGGTGCGTGCTGTCGACAGAAGCACAATATTGCAGCACGAACTTAGAGTTGTGACCTTCATCTTGGTACATTCTCATTCATCACATTCCTTGACAGCTTTCAGGAGCTCGAGAAAAGTTTGTTGCACAAAAAGTAAATTCCTGAACACGGATGGAGAAAGAGATAGCAGAGTGGGATAGTTGGAGGAGAGCAGTCAGAGCAAAGGTCCAGGACATGGCTACAGTTTCAAGGATCAGTTGCGATGGACACCATTATGGATCAGCAAGGAGAGTAGAGGACACGTTGTACATGTTAGTGGTGGGGTGAGTGGGTGGGTGATGGGAGTAAAGATGCTGTCTCTTTTTCCGGGTTCCGGAAAAAAGAGGAGGAAGACCGGGAATCCAGAGACTCGTCGATTAGGTACAGAGATCTTCAGACATTGATTAGTGTGGCTTGGACAGCAGGAACCAGTTGCCGAATAGACACCAGTGGGGTGGTCACGGCACTCTGGCGTGACCATCTTTTGTTTTGAATTTGTTTTGTTGCGTACTTTTTTTGACAATGTGATATATGCTCTGGGTATCAAATTCAAAATTTAAAAATCTATGCAGTTGAAATATATAAATCTTCCTCGCATACAGACTCCCAGACAGCCCGTTCCCTCTCTGGAGGCTACCCTAGAGGAAATATATCCTTTTCCAAATAGTCTATGCATAATGTGATATGCTTTTTTTCCCTCCTCCTACCCTTCCTTCCTTTGAACAATGTTAGCATGCTGTATACACTCTTCTGCACTTTTATTCTTTATTTTTTAATTTTTTAATATATCTCAGAGATAGTGTTCTTTATTTTTACATTTAGAACTGCCTTACTAGTTTTTACAATAGCTGCATGCTGTTCTGTGTATGAAATATGAAAATTGAATTAATGAGTCCTCTAGTGATGGACCTTTGAGTTGTTGTCACTCCTTTGTTATTATAAACAAAGCTTCATGAGTATCTTTATACATGTCTTTGCATGCATATGCAAATACAGGATAGATTAATGAGTGGAACTGCTGGGGTGAAGATTCATGAATGCTCAACTGCCATCAACAAATGCCGTCCATCTGCATGATTTATAATCTCAATGGCGATGCATGATGGAGGTTGTTTATCCACATCCTTGTTAGTACCCTTTTCTGAAAGGTGTTTCTTTGGTTGACCTGAGATGACCTCTCTTAATAGTGTTGGTTTGCTTTGCTCTTAATAAGAGCAACATTAACAATCATTTCACGTGTTTAAGCCATTTTAATTTCCTGACCTTTGCCCATTTGTCCAAAGGAACTGTTTCATCATTAAGGAAGTTAATCCTTTACCTGGTAATGTATTGAAACAGTATTTTTAAGTCTGTCATTGATCTTTCGAGTTTCCGGAGGTCCCTCCTCTATGAAGCGTGTTTTAATGTGGTTGAATTTCATAATACTTTTGCCCTTTCGTGTTTTGTTTCATACTTACAACTTCCAGACCCTGTGATTTAAAAAAATCCTCTCAAGAATTCCTGTAGAAATTTTGTGATTTCTATTTTTTAAACATTTAAATCTTCGGTTTATATGGAATTCATTTGGGAGCAGAAGGAGCACGGAAAGAGGACCAGGCCTCAGTGATGTTGTGTTCTCTTGTTCTGTCAGCGGTGTTGAGTGCCTACTGTATGCCAGGCTGAGTGCAAGGCGCTGGGCGAGAGCTGGGGGGTGCAAACTGAGACTAAAGCAGAGTCCCGTGGTCCCAAAGCAAGTGCTTGCCCTTAAAGGAGCTTTTGCTCAAAGTATCTATAGGACAGAGGAAAAGTCATTCTGCATTTCCAGGTCTGGCTGAGAGAATTTTGGGAACCCGGAAAAAGAGACAGCAAAATGAAAAGCCCAGCCATCTGGCCCAGCTCCTGCAAGTTGCGGCTTCTCTGTCTCTCTGTGTCCCCGTTTCCCTCCCCTTTGTGACCACCTCGCCAGGCCTCCTACCCCTCTCTCTCATTCTCGCTCTGGCTCTTCTCTCTCGGAAGCCCTGAGGACTGGTTACAGGCTCTCTCTAGGGCCTTCCGCCCCACCCGCGCCCTCCGTCATTTCCTCACTGCCCTTCTCAGCCCGCAGGGCGGCCTCTGGGGGTGGACTGTCCCACGGGTGCCCCTTTCTATTCAGCTCGCGAATGAACCTGGAGAGTTGCCAACCCACAGCATCGAAGGCGTTTTCAGAGAGTCGCTTGTGGGCAATTTTTCTTAGGTTGACGATCAGCTTTTCCTTCTCCGTCACTGTCCCATTGATGTTCAAGCCCTGCAGGTAGTGACGGATGGCGGTGTCGTCACACAGCTGCTGGTACTGCTGGAAGTTTCCGTAGCGCAGGTGGAGGACTTGTCTCTCTGCTGGAGGCAGATCCTTACTGAATTCTTTCTGGAAGTAATACTCCACCTTATCATACTGGCCCATGATGGCATAGAGGCAGGCAAGGTCGGAGCAGGCGTGGGGAAGGTTAATTTTCAACTCGACAACTCTCTTAAAGTGATCCACCACGTGTCTCGTCATCTCCTGCAGCTCTTCTTCATTCTCCTTCGTGGCGTACCTCCTTGACCTCTGTATTTGCCGGATTTTTGCTCTGTAGCAGCATCCGATCTGCAGATGTTGATAGACGTTGTTCCGTACCGATTCTAAAGCCTTTTAAGTAATTCGATAGCCGTGTCCAGAGTACCTTTATTTCGGTAATATTTGGCCACACTGCAGAGGACGTCCGTTGGGCACAGCATTTTCTTTAAGGCCTCTTCGACTAGCTTATCTCCTTCAGCTTGTTTCTAGGTCTTTTGGAGAGTCAGAGCCAGGAGAACGTGAATATACTGGTTGTCAGGATTCAGTCGGATGGCCCGCCTCAGCAGGCAAATGGTGTTCTCTGTTGGTGCTTTGTCACCCAGACGGTAGAGTGTGATGGCCAGTCCCAGGGAGAATTCTGGATTGGTGGGTTTCTTTTGCAAAGCTTTCTCAAAACACTCCTTAGCCCGTTCATAATACTTTTCTCCCCATTTTAAAAGTGCCCGTCCGGGCGCCTGGGTGGCTCAGATGGTTGGGCGTCTGCCTTCAGCTTGGGTCATGATCTCGGGTTCCTGGGATCGAGTCCCGCATCGGGTTCCCTGCTCAGTGCAGAGCCTGCTTCTCCCTCTCCCTCTGCCATTCCCTCTGCTTGTGCTCTTCTGTCTATCTCTCTGTCAAATAAATAAATAAAATCTTTAAAAAAATAAATAAATAAAAGAGCCCATCCCTTTTCACAGTCAATCTCGGGGCATTCAATTCTGTAGGAGCTTGCAAACTTCTTGCAAAGATGTCCTACCTTGTCAACGTAAGCCTGTGCTTCTGGAAGCCTGCCCATGTGATAATAGACCCAGGCGTAGTTTCCCCAGGTGACCAGACTTCAGATTTTGCCTTGGCGGGCCTGTCCATGCAGGATAAACTCTTCTGCTTGCTGTAAATATTCCAGAGCCACCTTGTTCTGGCCTCGGAGGTGTTTAACATAGGCAAACAGATTGTACATGACTGCTTTGAATTCTTTGTTTAGAAGCCGTGCCTGGTCACGCACTCTGTTCTCCAGATCATCTAAGGAACTTTCTTCATCATGTAAGTTCCAGGTGAAATGGCATTTCAGTTGCAGTAAGATGTTTTCCAGGGAATGTTTGGTGATTTCACTGTAGGGGAAGAAGAGAAGACGTTTGGGGATGTGAGTGAGCAGATGGACAAAGCAACAGGTTTAGGGCATGGCCACCTGACCATTTCTGAGAAGGCCCAAACTGTGCTGGCACTCTGATCCGGAATTGTGAGAAAGGAATTTCTGTTGTTTATTATAAGCTACCAGTCTGTGGTATTTTGTAAAAGCCCCCCAGATGGATGGAAGTCGATGGGATGGCCCAGAAGGAAGGGGGAGTGGAGGAAACTTATTACCCAGGGACACCCCAGTTCCACCTGTCTTAGAGAAGGATGGGCACAGAGGTCCTGGAGCTCCAACTGCAAAGCAAGGAAATTTCTCTGTAGAAATTATTGGAGAATGGTGCAGTAGTTGAGTAATAATATTTAGTGAGGTTGGTTTTTTGTTTCCTCTCTCAAGCATGGAAACCAGGGTGTGAGCCTGGACTTCTGATCCACCAAAATAGTCAGGGAAACTAAGAGGAAATGCTGGGCTGAAGACACCAAGAGATGAGAGGGGGATCGTTTGGGGCTGGGTGTGAATAGATATCCCTCGGGGGTCCTTCCCAAGGGATGGAGTGTGCACAGAGTGTTAGTTTCTTCAGGTTGGCTCGGGGCCGGCTTTTGGTCCATCTGACATTGGGCCAACGAGTATAGCCCCACCTTTGTCGCTGTCTCTGCCTTTGCTGAGCTGGCTCTTCGGGCAGATTCACGAACTAGAACAACTCAAATACTCTCCACTCTCTCCCCGGGTGGCTGCCACCTGATGCTGTGGTCCACCACCCTTTTGATTTGCTCAGTGGTCACGAAGACAGTAGTCAGGTTCCTTACAGAGACAGAGAGACATCTGGAGCAGATGAGAAACAGGACACAAAGAGCCCACGTGCAAATGCTATTCACAAAAATCAAAGGACAAACTAGAAAACACATTATAAGCATGACAAGAGGTATTCCGTTTAATACCTAAAACGTGCTTTTAGTATTCGTATTTCAGTAGATACTAATATGAGCAGGTAGTTCAAAATTTACCAACACACATATAAAAAAATGGTCAGTAATCAAAGAAACGCAAATTAAGTCAATGGTATTTCAATGGCATTTAAAGCTTCAGTTACACAAAAAGATTTTCAAGAATCACAGCCGGGCACTTTTACTTATATATGAGGGTTCAGAACATACTTTGACATAAAACGTGCAGGGAATTGTGGCAAAACATACAAAGAGCTCTTGACATAAAATTTTCAATATTAAGAATGTATAGAAAACCAGACATTCAGTCAAAGGCTGTGATGGTCTATGCATGTGTCACGTTGGCTAGTCTATCGTGCCCAGTTACTAGATCAAACATGAACCTAAGTGTTGCTGTGAAGGTATTCTGTAGACGTGATTAAAGTCCACAAGCGGGGCACCTGGGTGGCTCAGTCGGTTGGGCGTCTGCCTTCGGCTCAGGTCATGATCCCAGGGTCTTGGGATCGAGCCCCGCATCGGGCTCCCTGCTCGGCGGGAAGCCTGCTTCTCCCTCTCC